CAAGCTTATTTTCTATATTCTAGATCTTTGTCTTCTTCTCCTCCATGGCGGCGTCTAAGGTGGTCTCGTAGAAGTCAGGTATCGGCTTCTTGATATCGTCAGCTTGGTCGTCGTCCTCTTTCAGGTCATCGGGGTTCACGGGAACATAGAAGTATCCCATGATGGAGAAGATGATGGAAACGGCGACCAGGAGTGCCGCAAACAGGATAAACTCCGCCCACTGCAGGGTGAGACAGAGAGTGTAATTCCATTTGTGTAAGTATATACAAATGTATTATGCTGTATTGTAGAATATACAAATGAAATAAAGATTTTGTTTTCTGTGTCAGTAAAAAGAAAACAATAAAGTTATAAAAAAACTAAAACAAAGTTTTAATATTAATGGTTATATAAATAGAAATTAAAAGGTTAGGGTAAGCTAAGGGTTAATAGGTGCTAAAGAAGGAACAAAATGTTTTGATAAAAAACTTTTCTTCTTTCCTTGTCAGGTTGTTTTAACTGATATCATATGCCGAATGAAGCTCTTCCCTTTGATTTGCAAATTCATAGAACAATGTTACTTTGTATCTCTCTATCTCCCTCTGATCAATGTTTATAAACAATGTTACTTTGTATCTCTCTATCTCCCTCTGATCAATGTTTATAAACAATGTTACTTTGTATCTCTCTATCTCCCTCTGATCAATGTTTATAAACAATGTTACTTTGTATCTCTCTATCTCCCTCTGATCAATGTTTATAAACAATGTTACTTTGTATCTCTCTATCTCCCTCTGATCAATGTTTCAGCCTGAACCCCTCATCTGCACACAGCGGCATTTTCCCTGCACATCCACCATCTATTATATTTACTATTGGAGAAATAAAAAAAGGTGGATGAGATTAAATCTGCACATGGGAAGTTGTCTGGCTCTGAACTTGTATTTGTATCCAGGCTGAGAGAGTTCCATAGTTCATCAGTAAATGTTACCTGTGCCAAGGTTCCCGCCTGGGCTACAATGAGCACAATCACATTGCCAAAAGCCACAGTGAGCAGCCACCCAGCCTGGAGGACGGACTTCATACTGTTTGGAGCCTGGGAGAAACAAAGAGTGCCGGTCACAAATGAACATATAACAGATGGTGACAGTTTAAATACATCTTCAGCACCAAGAATACTATCTGACATCACCAGCTCGACATATCCTGTCCTATGGGAGGCATCTATGAGGACTGTGGAAGTATCACAATCAAGGGAACCTCAAACTATACCCCAAAAGAGGAACTCCTCCAAAACAAAGCAAGCCCACGACAATGGCACTTAACTTCACTACCCAACCCTAATCATAACATTAATATCCTCCCTTCAGTCTTATATCTGACCTCCGTCCTTCCCTTCAGTCTCCTATCTGACCTCCGTCCTTCCCTTCAGTCTTATATCTGACCTCCGTCCTTCCCTTCAGTCTCCTATCTGACCTCCGTCCTTCCCTTCAGTCTTATATCTGACCTCCGTCCTTCCCTTCAGTCTCCTATCTGACCTCCGAATCTTTTACATGACCTCCATCCTTCCCTTCAGTCTTATATCTGACCTCCAACCTAAAAGTGATGAAAAAATAAAATGCTTTGAGTTGCCATCAGAACAGGAAGAAGTGGAAATCTTCCAATGGGGACACCATTTCCGGTGACAACTGGCTAAGAAACGATTCCCCCCTCACCTATGAGAGATTTCCACTCACAATGAATGGGCTGCCTTGAGGCAACAAGTGTAAATGGCACACGGTAATGTGGGTGGGGCGATGTGCTGCAACCCAACTTGCTGGTGTGAAGGCTCCGAAAAGTCCTCTCTGTCCCCCGAATTGTAATAAATCCGCTGAACTGATCCGTGAGGCGCCTGAACCAAGAGATCCCAATACTGATCTCCTTACACCAAAAGCTATAACAGTCCCCGAGAGACGGAAGAGACCATCAGGTGGTTTAACTCTCCAGCATGATCCAAACACTGAACTGTCAGCCCTGGGTAGGGTGACCCTTTACATTGTGCTACCTTCCAGCAATGCGAGACTCATCAGTCCTTACCTGGGAGTAGGAGAAGTCTAAGCCGGTGACCGAGAACATGACCTCGCCGGCGCTCAGCAGGAAGTATTGCGGGATCTGCCATGCCACGTGCACGCTGTTAGCGTCAACGTCTGTAACCTTGTAGGCTGTAATAACTTTACTGGTTGTATCCACCTGTATGGAAAAGTTCACATGTCAGATGGCCAGCCGCTGATATTCACCGTCCCATATCGTGGACCTCAGTTCTGATGACGTTGTGTCCTGGGATCACAGTGTCATGCATAGGAACCCAATAAGGCAAGCACTATGGTGATTGGGGGGGCACAAGTGGGCAGTCCCCTTATATTTAGAGCCAGGGTTTGGGCATGTCAGTCTGAAAAGTGGGCAAGGGTCTGGGTGGGGCTGAGGTGGACTGTGGGTGGGGTTACCTGTTTCCCAGGGACTGAAATGCTGGTAATTGTGAAAGACCAATCTGAAGAACCTCACAGAGGAAATATTATCAAATAATAATTCAGTTTCAGGAGCTGGGAGTGTTTTATCTTTGTTATAATTCGTCCACATGCTTCTGACTTCAAGAGGAGAAGATTTAATATATAAATATGAAGGGTTGTTGTGTGATAGATATCACACTGGCACCATGTTGTGTGGTCAGTTCACAGATAAATGGTTCTTATTGGAGGATCATTTCTGGGATGAAGTAATTATTATAATTTGGCCAAAAGTATGTGAAGACCGAACAGACCTCCATATGATGGAGTTCAGGTGTCTCCATTGAAGGTCCTGTTAATCCTCCATCATACAAAGACATTGTAGACAGTTGTGCTCCTCCAGCCTTGTGATAACAGTTTGGTGAAGACCCTTCTCTGTTCCACCCATGACTGTCCCCTGTGTACAAAGCCAGCTCCATAATGACATGGTGTGACCAGTTTGGTGGAGGAACTCAAGTGTCCTGCACAGAGCCCTGACCTCAACCCTAATGACCACCTTTGGGATGAATTGGATGCCGATTGTGAGCCAGGACTTCTCATCCAACATCAGTATCTGATGAGGGTTTATAAGGATGCCGTGCATAAAATGTATGATGAGCTTCCATCTCCAACAGTGATGCGAACCCACATATATAGTTGACATCTGACTATTACATCTACCTATATGGCCAAAACTATGTGGATCCTCCTCCAAATGATGGAGTTCCGGTGTCTCCAGTGAAGGTTCTGTTAATTCTACATCATACAAAGACATTGTGGACAATTGTCCTCTTCCATCCTTGTGGTAAGTTTGGTGAAGACCCTTTTCTGTTCCACCCATGACTGTCCCCTGTGTACAAAGCCATCTCCATAAAGACACGGTGTGGCCAGTCTCGTGTGGAGGAACCCGAGTGTCCTGCACAGAGCCCCGACCTCAACCCCACTGAACACAATTGGGATGAATTAAATGCCAGTTGTGAGCCAGGTCTTCTCATCCAACATCACAAATTCCACAGACACCCTCCAAATTCTTGTGAAAAGATATTCCAGCTGAGTGGGGGATGTTATAGCTGCAAAGGGGGGAACCCCACAGTAATGGCCATGGGGGGGGGGGGGGGCAGTAAAAAGGGTGGGGGGGGGGGGGGCGATTTCATATTGATGGCCATGATTTTGAAAATTAGATGTCCAGCAAGCTCACATAGGTGTGATGGTCAGGGGTCCTGGAACATTTGGTCATATAATGTATAAAATCAGAACAGAAACAAAACCCCATTGCACTATCACTGTATGGTTCCTTGAAAGGTAAGAAAACCAAAATGTTACTTACACCCTTCAGTACTACTGTATATGCTCCACCAAAGTCCAGTAAACCCAGGTCAATCGTGTATTTCTCGTTGTTGTAATCCACGTTAAGTTTGGTTCTGGTGGAAGAATAGGAAACAATAAGACAATGTATACAGGCAGTAGAAGGATTCTATTGAGGAAAAAATAGCTATGGGGGTTATTCACTATTGAGCCAAAGGATACAGCCGTGGCTTTGGCTGATCCTTTGGCTCTCTTGGGCCACCTCTGCCCTTCGGTTCAGTAGAACCGAAGGGTTGCTGTACGGGCTATTCACTATAGCCCATACAGCAGCCGAAGGTGGTTGAGCGGCTCAGTTGAGCCGAAGATAATGCTTCAGCTCGACTGAGCCGAAAGCCGGCCGTTCTCCCCGCAAAGGACAGCTGGGCGGAGCCAGCTTTGATCTCACGACTAGCTCCACCCAGTTGTAATGACAGATCAGCGTTCCCAAAGGATGCTGATCTGTCATTAAACAATAACAACTGGGCGGAGCCGGCCGTGACGTCCCGGCCGGCTCCGCCCAGTTGTTATTTATTGTCCGGGACCTGCTAGAAGACTCTGGCAGGTGCCTGCCAATAGCAAACAGTTGGGCGGGGCTAGCTGTCACTGCTAGCTCCGCCTAATCGTTTTTCTTTTTCCGGCATCTTTGCTGGCGGGTTTTTTTTTGGCTATTCACTTACTGTTGTTTGGCCCCTGAGCTTCAGATGTTGGATCAGCTGAGTCTAACTCCTTCTGCACTTTGGCTCAGCCGAACATACAGACCGAAGGCAGCCGATGTACGGCTTATTGTAGCCCATGTATGGCTGAAATCAGTGTGCAGGCCAGAAGTGAATAGCCGAACAGCATTCAACTCACTTCACTCCGGCTGGGCTATTCAATTGGCTGCCTTCGGCAGCTTTGTGCATAACTATCTAGCTATCTATCTATCTATCTATCTATCTATCTATCTGTCTGTCTATGTATGTCTGTCTCTCTGTCTATGTCTTTCTGTCTGTCTCTATGTCTGTCTGTCTGTCTCTCTGTCTATGTCTGTCTCTCTGTCTATGTCTGTCTGTCTCTCTGTCTATGTCTGTCTGTCTATGTCTGTCTGTCTATGTCTGTCTGTCTCTCTGTCTGTCTGTCTCTCTGTCTATGTCTGTCTCTCTGTCTATGTCTGTCTGTCTATGTCTGTCTCTCTGTCTATGTCTGTCTGTCTATGTCTGTCTCTCTGTCTATGTCTGTCTGTCTATGTCTGTCTCTCTGTCTGTCTCTCTGTCTATGTCTGTCTGTCTATGTCTGTCTGTCTGTCTATGTCTGTCTGTCTATGTCTGTCTGTCTATCTATCTACTTATCTCTATGTTCCCCACATTCTGTCCGTCTGTCTGTCTCTCTCTTTTATTTATTACAGGTATTTATATAGCACCAACAATATATGCAGTGCACATTGACATCAGTCTATCTATCTTTTCTTTCTTTCTTTCTTTCTTTCTTTCTTTCTTTCTTTCTTTCTTTCTTTCTTTCTTTCTCTTTCTTTCCTTCTCTATCAGTCAATCCTAGAAATTCCAATTCATTAGCCTACTCACTTTGCTCTTTTCTGTGTGAGATAGTCCGATATGTGCTGGGGAGTACTGTTGAACGCCGTGTCGCCGATCTGTATGTTGTTGACAGTATCTGGGAGCAAATTAATGAATCTGCAAGAAATTAGAAAAGAACAAATGATTGTGCTGTGCGTGCCGTGGCGCATACATGTGCTCATATACAAAGCGCATCATACAAAATATACATTAAAGGATAATTAAACCCTCCGGTGTTTTTGCATAAATATATATATACAGGTGAAACTCGAATAATTAGAATATCGTGCAAAAGTAATTGCAGTAAGTGCTGCAAAAGGGGCCCAAACCAAGTCCTGAGTACATATGCATGCTTGTACTTCTCAGAGGTCCGATATTGTTCTATGTACAATCCTTGTTTTATTGATTGCATGTAATAATCTACTTTTTTGAGGTTGTGGATTTGGGGTTCTTGGGGTTTCCATGAGCTGTAAGCCACAATCATCACAATTATGACAAATCACGGCTTGAACTATCTCGCTTTGCATGTAATGAGTCTCTCTCATATATTAGTTTCACCTTTTAAGTTGCATTAGTGAAATAAATGAACTTTGTACCATATTCTAATTATTCGAGTTTCACCTGTATATGAGGCCAGCAAGCGATAGATCTATGCAAAAAGTGTACAAAAAAAAACCCGCTTTAAAAGCGGTTCAAACTTGTGTCTTTCCTGCGCACTCCCGTCCGAAAATGTGAAGATTCTCGGGCGGCCGCAACGCATCTTGGGGCGGGCGCATGCGCAGATCACATTTTTGTCCGGGACGCGAGGAGAGATGCAAGGTAAGTCTATGGAGCAGCGTGCACTCGCATGCAGACACCGTGGGACAGGAAGTGCCAGCAAGGACAGAGGAGTCAGCGCTGGATCGGAGAGCCGCCGCACCGCTGGAGGGACAGATGAAAACTACAGGAAAGAAGAAGAAGAAGATCGGATTAAGAGACATCATTAAAGGTAAGTGCTGACACTAACATTGGGGGGAGGGAAAAACATTTTTGCCTTTAATGTCACTTTAAGTAATGACAAGGTTGTCGCAGAATAAACAGGCCCATAGAGGAAATGTAAAAATTGTTCTGGTTCATCAGGGGTATAAAGGCATGAAAGCTAGAGTGGTTAAGGTGTTCGATTTTATGTTTAGAATCATGGAGGGGGGGAGATTTAGACTTTAATGTCACTTTAAATGTTTTACATTTAGTACATCGACTCCAATGCCGTGTTCTGGTTTTGTGCAGAGAAACATTTTCTCACTATACAACATTGTTGCAAGATAGTAACGTACCTGACCGCTGCTAATCCATTGGATGGCTTTTTATTGCTATCTTTGATCTACAGAAATAGAAGAAGGAACCCATGAATGTTACATTGTAACTATTCAGTACTACAATATATTACAACTATGGATTATATGGAACTACAAGGCTCTATAAAATGATACATAATACCCAGAAATGTCAGCATTGCATTGGCGAGTCAATGCAAAAATATTATAAGAAATTTACAAGAAAAATATATATATAAACATAAACAACACAATTCAAATAACTCCTTCCCCTCCCCCGTTCCCAGACCACCCATATATCACATAGGATATCTCTTCCCAACTTACTGGTGAACAAAACGAAGTAGAATCCATGACATTCACATCCACCAATAAGGAGTATGCTTCTTTCTCATCAATGCTGTATGTGCAGGGAGTGTTGATTCCAGGAATCTGCACAGTGACTGTCGTAGAGCCGGTGAAATTTACTTTTACGTAATTTGGATCCTGCAGCAGAAAAACACACAAACAATATTTGTATACCAACCAGCTTGGAGCCCGGGTGGACTCCCCCTCCCATGTGACAGGTGATGAGACGGTTCAGGCGGTGCGTCTCTTACCTGGAACGCTCCATTGGCTAGGGATGGCTGGTTGAACGCCGTGTTGCCTGGCATGCTAACAGCGACAGGTTGTTGAGCGAAGTTCAGAACCTGCACAAGACTCTCTCCAGCTTTCGGGATCGTTGGATTTGTCTCCTGGAAATTCAGAAAAAAAGGAATGGAATTAATTTCTTAATTAAATATGTTTTTTTTTCCCTTCAGAGAAACGTTATTACTTCTTGTTTTATCAGAAAGTGAGGGGAAGAAACACTTTGAACATCAAGTTCCTGCGGTCTCTCTCTCCTGGTATGTTTTACCTCTCAGACCTGCCACCATTTTTGTTGCTCATCTTTGGACTCTTTCAAACTTATCAATATCTTTTTGTAACAGAGATCTCCAGAACTGGACACAGCATTCTAAATGAGGTCCAACTAAAGATCTATATAGAGGAATCAGGACCTCCTTCCTCCTGCTGGGGACCCCTCTATTGATAATAAAGATCTATATAGAGGGATCAGGACCTCCTTCCTCCTGCTGGAGATCCCTCTAGTGATAATAAACATCTATATAGAGGGATCAGGACCTGCTTCCTCCTGCTGGAGATCCCTCTAGTGATAATAAAGATCTATATAGAGGGATCAGGACCTCCTTCCTCCTGCTGGAGATCCCTCTAGTGATAATAAAGATCTATATAGAGGAATCAGGACCTCCTTCCTCCTGCTGGAGATCCCTCTAGTGATAATATAGATCTATATAGAGGAATCAGGACCTCCTTCCTCCTGCTGGGGATCCCTCTAGTGATAATATAGATCTATATAGAGGGATCAGGACCTCCTTCCACCTGCTGGAGATCCCTCTAGTGATAATAAAGATCTATATAGAGGGATCAGGACCTCCTTCCTCCTGCTGGAGATCCCTCTAGTGATAATAAAGATCTATATAGAGGAATCAGGACCTCCTTCCTCCTGCTGGAGATCCCTCTAGTGATAATATAGATCTATATAGAGGAATCAGGACCTCCTTCCTCCTGCTGGGGATCCCTCTAGTGATAATATAGATCTATATAGAGGGATCAGGACCTCCTTCCACCTGCTGGAGATCCCTCTAGTGATAATAAAGATCTATATAGAGGGATCAGGACCTCCTTCCTCCTGCCGGAGACCCCTTGTATTTGCTGTAGTAACAAGGGGCAAGTAAGTCACAAGACTTTTACTTACATTAATTTTGATCTCCACAACAGTGGCAACCGCAAACGCCACAGCTGCCAGCAGCATGCCGATGGTCATCTTTGGAAGGGGTCTGCGGAGGAATAATGATGGGTGAATGCTTTTATAGACCAAGCAGCAATCTCTGCAAAGGCCACAGAATGGAGGCCGGACTTTGTTACTCACTTGAAGTTGATCTTGCACAGCTTGACGAGCGGGTAGATGCCCAGATCGAACACCGGAATGAGAATGAGGATCAGAAGTGGGTTCAGGATCTGGAGAGATAAGATATTCCATTACCGTCACCCTGCTCATGTAGAGGGATCTAAATCTGATAATAAGTCATCAGGTTCCTGCAATCCTGTATATGGGGGGCACTATATTGGCTCCATGCGGGCCTATAGGCATTAGACCGGGTAGGTTGGATTTCAGCTCCTAAAATGTTGTTTTGGCAGAAGATTCAGCACACAAATGTCTGTCCTGTAGACCTTCCATGGCACATGTGAAGCAGCGTTGCGTTAGCGCAGTCCAATCATTTTGAATGATCTGCCGACGCACTCAAACTCTCTATTTGTAACCCACAACATCACAAATGGTTCCCATCTGCGCATTGTGGAGTTCCTCAATACATGTGCATTGGGGTGCCATTCAACATTAATGACATTGCACCCAGGGCCGGTGCTAGGCTATTTTGTACCCTAGGCAAAACCAGCTACCTGCACCCTCAGCCCCCCTCCTTCAGCGCTACCC